CAAAAAGGTCCTGGTTCCCTCGGGACTCCAACTCAGAACCCTCTGGTCCTGGTTCCCCCGGGACTCCAACCAGAACCCTCTGAGTGTGAGGCGATGGTGCTAACAACCACACCACCATGCTGCCCTACTTATGTCATGTAAAGTCAAAACCTAACTGATAAAATAATAAACTAAAATCAGATTTGACATATCTGTAAGCTGTAGATGTGCATTTCAACATTAGATTTAAAAAACCAGTCAGCAATTTGATTCTGAAATAAAGCTGTTTCCTTATTTATCATCAAAGTACATTTATTCTCTCAATAAACTTGTGTCAGTTTAAAATAATCTAGAGTTTGTAAAGTAAGTGTGTGCTTCATTCAGCTTTAACATTTCCAGCTGAAAGGAAGAAACAACATTTGAATGTTTGCTATTTGTAAACACTACAAGTTTAAATGTTGTTTTAAACGTGTTGAAAGGAAGGAGAGATTGTGAGAAGATTTCTTCTTTTAATAAAACAACTGAAAATAGTCTGATTGACATCTTTTGAAGCTAAATGCTGAGTGGAGCTGAAGCTCCACCTCCAGAATGAGAAAACATCTGCAACCAGCAGCCCCAAAGCCCCCGGATCACACAGCCTCATCTCTACTGAACAAAGATATCTTAGAGGAGCTCACAGAGCAAGTGAAGGCCTCTGTGTTTACAGGCTCCTTTCTCTAAGTTAAACTTTGTTTTCAATCAGTGGAACTGTCTGTTGGAACATGTGGCAGAGCTCTGCAGCTTCTTTAATAATTTTAACATGGAAATACATAATTTAAACCAAAAACCAGAAAAGCTGACAGAGGGAACTAACCTCAGAGTTTCCAGTCTGCAGTTTGGACTTTCCAGTCCAGCAAAAAGATGTTTCCCTCCTGAATCCATCAGCATGTTTCTACTCAGGTCCAGTTCTTTCAGGTGGGAGGGGCTGGACTTTAAAGCAGAGGCCACAGCTTCACACACACTCTCTGACAGTCCACAGTCTGTAAGTCTGAGACAGGAAACATGGAAAGGAAGCCAGAATCACATCATCTGATCCACACTGGACACACAAAGTCAGCACAAACAGAAGAGACAGAGCCTGTCTCCAGCTCCTCCTCCTCCTCTATCAGAGCTTGTGGCAGCAGCAGGACTCTTCATACCTGAGTTTGTGTGGATCCTTCAGAGCAGCCATCAGCAGCTTCACACCTGAATCTCCTGGACGGTTGTAGCTCAGGTCCAGCTCTTTCAGATGGGAGGGGTTGGAGGTCACAGCTGAGGCCAGAGAAGAACAGCCTTCCTCTGAGATCCCACAGCTGGACAGGCTGCAGACACACAGAACAACACAGAAACTCTGAGAGCTGCTCTGAGACTGAAGCTGGATGTTATCACATGTTGATCTGATGATGGCCCCAAAGCACTCTGATCAATGACATCAGTCTATTAGACACTGTTAGAAGTTTTTAGTCTGAACCAATCTGGAAGATAAACTTTAACATTTCAAACTGAAGCAGAGGTTCAAACATTGTGAAAGTGTTCATGTTAAAGGAGGAATGAGAACAGGCAGCACACTGAGTGTTAGCGGTGCCAGACCTAGGGGACCTAGACCTGGGCCAGCAGCAAGGGTTGCACAGGCTGGCGAGCACTGTGTAACCAGGTTTTACAGAGGGTAACTCTGTGTATCAACAAGGAGAGGACCACCGTTAGCATGCTGCTCAAGCTGCTTTACTTCTGACATTCAAGAACATTCAATTCACAGTCACAGGATACATGTAGAATCCTAATGACACTTATTCTGCTTTTAACCCATTTAGCTAAACACATTTATGTTATGAATGGTTACAATCACTAATAAACTTTCTGACAATATTACTGTAAAAGTAAATTAAAGAAAAAAAGAGAACCGTTGGGGCAATGGTAACTAGAAAACAAACTTTAAACTACCGGTCTAAAATGGTGTGTTAACATTACAGAGTAATGAATAAAGCATTCACAGTAGTTACTGAACTATACTCAATGCAGACATGTGCCTTTAACCGTAGCTGTGGATCAACAAGGAGAGGACCACCGTTAGCGTGCTGCTCATGCTCAAGCTGCTTTACTGCTGAGGCCATGTGCCGAACTAGGTAGCTATCTCCCTGGTGAATCCACAGCCTTAAACAGCACCATCTACTGACCTAACACTGTATTTTCTTGTATCTGGGAAAAGTCATGTGACAATAAATGTTAGGATAATTCAATTATTCATAAAAAATACGGGGGTGCCTGTTTGCATAACAAACTACAAACTTATTTAGCGTTTCTGCAACCTACTATATGAACATGTGATGTCACAGGAAAATGGTTCAATCTTTCAAAGAAAAGCAACTCTGTATCTAAAATCTCAGCTAAATTCCCATTAACCTGCGGCTGATCTGGCTGCATCTTTTCAGTACACACAGAGCACAAATTTGTATTAATTCTGCTAAATTCCAAAACAAAGCTGCTGATATTCACATATTTACTACTTCAGAATCCTAAACAGTGTTCATCCAGTCTGACAAGTCTGAGAAGAGAGAAAATAAATGGATTAGATCATCAATCAGACAAACAGCTTTTGTAGAGTTATTTTTTGGTTTTGTTCACTACTATAATGTTTCAAAATAATGTGGAATTGACTGTTAATGTCACATAATCTGCTGCCAGCTTTTATCAGGTATATCTGATCATGTCCAACAGGGTTTTGAATAAAGTCGGCATTACTGGGTTAAACATCTGGGAACAGCTGTCCACTTCCTAATGTCAGAGCTGACTAACCTTTCCATTTTCTCTGCAGAATAACAGAATCTCATACACAGACAGAGGCCACATCAACCTCTGAAACAATCCAAACTGCTGACTCCACAGCTGCAACTTTCCTGGAAGCCCTGATTTATCTCTTCTATCCAGTCCTTCAGCAGCATCTTTCCAATGCTGCTCTATCCGCTCTCTGTCATCCAGGTCTGTCTGCTACCACCTACCTCAACTCTTTACTGGTTTGACCCTAATTATTGGAATTCTTTATTCATCCATTACAAACTTTCTATCCTTTATTTTTCTTCCACTGATTGAGATCCTCTGGAATTGATTTTCAGCCAGTTTTCATCCAGTTCTGACCTGAGTGTTTCCAGTCTGCAGTTTGGACTTTCCAGTCC